GCAGTGCACACACCAGCAGCCCCTAACCCACCACCCACCGCTGTCCCCAACTCAGGCGGGAACCCATCCCAGACCCTGCCACGCCTCAGTACACACTCAGGCACACGCACACACTCCCGACACATCCCTGCGATATCTGAACTAACATAGCTCCCTCACCGTGCCCCCACCGTCTCCAACTCCCCATATGCTCATTACAGACACCCCACCCACGTTCCCAGCCCAGAGACACGAAATCCACCCACCCCCCAGCAAAGCCCCAATTCTAACCCACACCCCAGCGGCCGACACTTCCCACTCTCCATAGCCAGGCCCACTCCCCAGGCATACACCCCAACATGTCTGCACACCTGCTGGATTCACACTTCTAGCACCCTGCCCCGCCCCCATTGCAAATAGCCCTCAACACCCCTCTGCACAGCCCTGACTCCCTTCCACCACCACCCTCAACACCTGGCCCGCCGGGTATAGATGCTGCAGCATTTGGTGGCTCTCAGGCACCTCTGGCTTGCTTTGGGCAGCCGCTGGCCCTCCTGAGGCCCCCGAGGTGCCTCCCTAAACAGACCTTGAGTCTCTCCGGTGACTGGCTTGCCCTCTTCCCTAAGAGATAAAGAAGGCACTTGGGGCTCAAGGTACCCTACTTAGATGTCAGGGCGTGGGGAGGGGGGCGGGGAGGAGGAAGGGAGAAGCAAGCATTGAGATGCAGGCGGCCCAGCTGGGATCAAAGGGGTGCCAGTTGCCCAGCTGGCGCATAGTAGGTCGTGGATTCCATGAGAGCAGAAGTCTGGGTGCAGTGTGTGTGCCTGTCTGGGAGTGTGCTGGGGGGAGGGCTGTGTGTGCACGTGTGCTTGTGCGTGTCTGAGGGGGCTAGTGTGTGGCCCACTGAGAAAAAGAGCAAGAGCAGCACCCTCCTGGGTTCCCTCATGCAACAATTGGTTTCATTCATTCTTGCCTTCTTTGTTAACGAGCATTTCTTCCGTGAGCGCTGGGGCGTGTGCTGGGCCCAGCACTGGGGGCTAGGACCAGCTTGGGGCCGGGCACACCCCAGCTCCTGCCTTGGAGGAACTCCCAGTCCCGCGAGGAGACTGACCAGGAAAAGCAGAAAGCCATCCCCAACGGAAAGTGGATTTGGTGGAAAAGGCACTGGATTGGCAGGAACGCTGTGGCTGGCAGTTGTGTTCCTGGCCATGTGACCGGGCCGCGACAGCCGAAATCCTGCCACTCAGCCCGGCGGGAACCGTGCATTCCGGGGTGGGGGGATGGAGAGGAAGGTGGGGTGCCGCTCTCTGGAGGCTCCGGGGACCAGAGGGCGCACGCGGCATGCGTGGGGCCTACGGGCAGCAGCGTCCCCGAGGCCTACAAGGGGCATTGACCGGGCCGGCGGAGGCTGGAGGCGCCCATAGGGGGCTGGGGCGGCGGGCACAGCGCCCACCCTGCGAGTGGGTCTGGCGAGGCCCTGGCGCACGGCACCGCCTCCCCCTGCCCAGCCTGCCCTGGGAGCAGCGTGGGGCGGGGCGTGGCCCAGAGCAGGCGCTGCAGGGGGCCTGAGTACCTGCCGCCCCAGCGAGGGTCGAGAGAGGGGGGCTTGGCTACGCTCAGCTCTGCAGTGCAGAGGTGGCAACAGGTTCCAGTTTGTCCTGCTGCTGGCGCAGCGGGCGCTGCTGCCGCCCGATGCATTGAGCACTCCCCTCCTGAGCGCTTTCTCCCGCTGGGAGAGGCTTGCCAGCAGGGGTCTGGAGCAAGGTGCAAGGGAGCCACTCTTCAGGCGTTGGGAGGCGTTGTGCAGGTGCCTGCACAATCCCACCCTGAGGGGGTTCTTGGAGCCTAGCTTCCTCTCCCTTCACCAGTGCAGAAGTTGCCTCCCTCCCCATCCCCATCTTCCCAGCCTGGCTCCCATCACCTCCTCCAGGGAGCCCTCTCCAGAAAGCATGCCTCCGAACCTCAGGAGCTCCTACCTCCCTCGGGGTTGGCGACCTTTTCTTTCTCCAACCACACTGAGCCCCATGACAAGGAAGGTAGGGGCATGTATCTCTCCATCTCCCTGTCTGGCGTTGCCACCCCCACTACCCACAAGGCGGCCAGGCTGGCACATTGCAGAGTCCCTTGGTGCCTTCAACCCCTGCCCACCCCAGGGTCCCGCCCACAGCTGCAGCGGGCCTGGAGGGAACCCCCAGGCTTGGGACTCATGGCCAGGTGGCAGCCCACCTCTGCCTCTGGGAACTAGGATGTGTGGGAAAGGAGATGACAGAAGACAAGAGTCCCTGCCCTGGAGCAGCGAGACAGGGAGAAGTGGGCCCTGCTCCAGCCCCAGTCTCCCAATCTGCAGCTCTTGGGCATTGCAGCCTGAGGGCACTGAGGTCTGGAGCAGAGAGGAGGAAGGCTACATGCTGGCTCAGGAAACAGAAGGCCACCCCGGAGGAGGGTGTTTAGGGAGGGCCTGAAGAAGGAGCAGAATCTGGACAGGCTGCAGAGGAGGGAGGCCTGGGCTGGGAGCAGGGGGACACAGCCCAGCTGCCTGAGGCCCTGGATGCTAGGACATGGTGGTCTGTGGCCAGAGATGAGACCCAGGCTGGCAGCCCACTGGGGTAGGGAGGGAGGGACTCATGCTGCCCTCTCCCCAGCATTACCTCCCAAGTTTGTGTTTGTGAGAAGAGCCTTGGGAAGCTGCACTGGACTTAACTATCCTCACCATTGGCCTTTCCTTCAGTGGCTTTGCGTCCTTCACTCCTTAGATTCATGTCTTGTGGACCTGCGTGCATAGCTCTGCCTTCTTTTATGTAGATTCCCAGAAGTGGCCATGAGGGTCTGGATTTCTTCCTAGCTCTGGATGCGTATTACCAAATTCATTTCCAGAAGGGCAGCACTAGCAATAGAGCAGCAGGCCCATTTCACAACACCCTTGCCAGCACTGGGTGTTCTTGTTTTGAGAGCATTTTACTAATGTAATGGGGGGAAGTGCTCCTTTGTCTTCAATTGTTATTCCCTTGTCTTTTAAATCTGCTTTCCTTCTGTGCCTGAGGTGGAACCTTTCCCCAAACAGCTCATCCCAGGCGCTCCTCCTCCTCCTTCTCACAGTCTGCTCTGGTTCTTTGCTCATTTATCTATCTGAGTCTTAACCTTTTGATTACTTTGTATGAACTTTATCTTATCTGCTGTACATTTTCCTTCAACTCTGCTATTTGCTTTAGATGGGTTCTAAGCAGAGAGGGGACACGGAGCCAGGCTTTTCCAAAACTCCCCCACCTCGTTTCACTGTCTCAGCGCTTACCACACTGGTATTATCTCGTTCCCTCTCCCTCTTTATTACCGACCTGTCCTACTAGCCTGGGAGCGCCGTGTAAGCGGGGACCCTGTGTGTCCTGCCTGTTCATCATCCTGTGTCCATGGAAGGTATGGAGGCCACCAGCTTTTGCTGAATGACTGTTCTCGTGCAGGGCAGGGTGGAAGGTGGTTGAGGCAGACAGGACTGGAGGCAGGGAGAGGGCTTTGGAAGCTGTGACAGGGACGTTGTCAAGAACTGGCAAATGCAAGCCCTTGGCCAGTGCAGGGGGCAGAGGGGAGAGTAAAGATGTGAGAGAGATTTAAGTAGAAACTGCGCGGCTCTTGACTAGGGAGGAGGCAGAGGGCAAAGGCAAGGGTGACTCCCAGAATCAGTAACGTGATAAGAGCAGAGCTCTCCAGTTTAGGGCTGGGAGCTCAGAGCTCCTGAGTGCCTTTGCTCTGTGCAAATGAAGCCATTGGGGGTGCCCAGAAGCTGCCTTCTGCCTGCCTAGCCCTCCAGCCAGCCTTGGGCAGAGTTGCCGGCCAGAAGGCAGCAGTGGCTTTCTGATCCTGCTTCCTCCTCCCCTACGTGATTCCAGTGGCATCCCACGGTAGCCAAAGGTGGTGGCTATGATGGACCCATTGTATAGATGGGACCACTGAGGTCCAGTCAGGGGACATGATGGTTCAGGGTCAAGGAATGAGTAGGGCTGGAGGCGGCCTCCAAGGCAGGAGCACTGGGCTCTTGTCCCCACCCCTCCCCCTGCCTCCAGGGGCCCGACTGGCGCTGGCCAGGGGAGCTGAGGCCGGTCCCCTGCTGGGCCCCTGACCTGCCCTTGGCCTCTGCCCCGCTCTGTCCCGCTTCGGTGGAAGCCCCAGATCAGCGCGCCACTTGCGGGGCCCACCCGACTGCTTTCGCTAGCACCCGTTGGCTCGCCGGCCCCCCTAAGCCCGCCCCCGCCGCCCCGCCCCTCCAAACGGCAATTCCACGTCCAAAGGCAGCGGCTTCCAAGGTGGAAGCTGCGTCCCGCTGCCAGAAAGCTGCCGGCGCGCGGGCTGCGCAGGACTAAGCTTCCACGTGCGCGCCTGCTCCGCTGCCCCGCCCTCTTCCCGATGGCCAGGCCAGGGGACACCCTGCCGGGGGACAGCGCCCTTCGTCCCGCGGTGGCCGTGGCCCGGATGTCCGCGCGCAGCCACCCGCCGCTGGAACACGCTCCAGGTCTCTCTCCTTTTGTTTTCTCCTCCCTGGGGGCACCAGGGCCGGATCAGCTCGGAGAGGGCCAGCCGAGGCCCATCACCTCGGCGCCACCTCTATTCCCTGGCCCGCCTGGCCATGGAGGAGATCTTGGCCTCGAACCTCTCTCACAGGCACATGCCCCCAAAGTCAGAAGCTCGAACTTGGGGAGTGATTGCGGGCAGGCTGAGCGAGAGAGGCAGAAAGGGGGCGTGAAGGGACGTGGATGTGGCCTTGGGCCGCCCCAGGAAGGCTGGGAAGCGACCCTCAGATATCAAAGGGACCATTGGACGCCCAGCCTTCCTCTTCTGGGGAACTTCTCACACTTCCCTTCCTGGGGCGGGGAGCAGCGCTGGGCGCCTGAGTGGCTGCCTCTGGTGTTTTTCGTGGAGCGCACAGGGCGCCTTTCTGCGTGTCCCCATTGTGGGAGGGGTGCGAGAAGAGAATCAGGCGGAGGAGGGGTGTCCCTGCTGGACCTCAGCGCCCACCTTCAGGAGACGGGGTTGGCTTCATGTCTTGGCCCCTGGGCCCGTGCCCCGTCGCGGCTGGGCGTGGAGGACGAGGGCTCACGCCGCGTGCCTTCCCTCTTTCCGCAGCGCCAGCAGCCCAACGTGCCAGGAGCCGGGAGCCCATGGAGGGTCTGGGCCGCTCGTGCCTGTGGCTGCGCCGGGAGCTGTCGCCCCCGCGGCCGCGGTTGTTGCTCCTTGACTGCCGCAGCCGCGAGCTGTACGAGTCAGCGCGCATCGGCGGGGCTCTGAGCGTGGCCCTGCCCGCGCTGCTGCTGCGCCGCCTGCGGCGGGGGAGCCTGTCAGTGCGCGCACTCCTGCCTGGGCCGCCGCTGCAGCCGCCCCCGCCCGCCCCGGTGCTCCTGTACGACCAGGGCGGGGGCCGGCACCGGCGCGGGGAGGCCGAGGCCGAGGAGTGGGAGGCCGAGTCCGTGCTGGGCACCCTGCTCCAGAAGCTTCGGGAGGAAGGCTACCTGGCCTACTACCTACAGGGTAGGTGCTGGCAGTGGCCCAGCGGGCACCAGCCTGGGGAGGACCTCGATCTGGGAGGCAGGGCCCCACCTTCCGAGGGGATTCATAATTCATTTGACCTTGGGCAGGCCCCGCCTGATTTTGTCTAAAGTGGAGGTGAGATCCTCTCCCCTGAGCGTGACTTCAGGCAAGTCCTTCACCCTTGGGAGCCCCAGTTTCTGAGTCTGGAAAACGGGGAGAATCAGGCTGACCTGACCTGGCTCACAGGGGTGCTCAAGAATGGAGTCCCAAGTGCAGGCTCCCAGCCTCCCCAGGATGGTATCACCACCTCCCCCAGCTGTTCAACCTGGGCAAAGGAGGCAGGGACCACAGGAGAACAAATCCTGGCTGTGGGCCCCCGGGGGGGGGGGCAGTGAAGGCTGGAGGAAGCAGAGACCTTGCCCCCACAGTCATAGCAGGGCTGGGGGGTGGAGGGGAGATGGGCTGATACAGGCCTATTGGCTCCTTGCCCAGCCAAACACACATGCACACCTTCAGCAGTCCAGGGTAGGGGCAGAGTTCCCAGGAACCTACAGAATCAGCTGTCTCCACCTCCCCATCAAGGAGGACCATTGGGCTGCCGTCCTTTGCTCCATTTTGAATGCACAGGAATATAGAAATATGTGAAGTGTTGGATTTCCAGGCCTCCACCCCCAGCCTGGGGAAGGAGTAGTTATCTGTAGATGAGAGGGATGCTGGCTTCTCGGGACTTTGGAACCATCCCAGTGGAATGTCTCACTCTCTCCCAGGCTCCCTGCCCCTTGGGGTCCCACTTCATCCCTGAAGAGAGCACAAAGATAGCTGTGACTCTGCCCCTACCCTCAGGGTGCTCCTGGTTGAGCTGGATCAGGAAACACCCAGGCAGAGAACTCACATCTGAACCTTTCTTCTTCTTTAACTGATGGCCACTGTCCTCCCCAAGGCTGGCAGTACCTGTAGACCCTGTTGAGCCCTCATGACTGCCTTGGCTCGGTCTTGGGGGTGTGAGGTCCTCTGTGGGTGGCTCTGCCTGGATCCAGCCTCTTGCACCCCCATCAGCTGCAATGGGCACTTGCTGTCCAGAGGAGTGACCAACAGTGCTGAGCAAGGGTGGCTGAGCTACCCATAGTGTATGTACCACATGGGAACATTAGTATAGATCAGGCTGCTGGCTTTCGAGTCCCTTTTGGGGACATCTGCAAGCCCCCGATGGCATCAGGGTTGTCTAGTGTCAGTTCTCTATCTCTAACAAGGGGCGCTTGGCTGCCCAGAAGGCCAGATCAGCGGGACCCTCTCCCTCTCCCCTTCCAGGTGGCTTCAGCAGATTCCAGGCCGAGTGCCCTCACCTGTGTGAGACCAGCTTCAACAGTCGTGGTGGCCCAAGCACAGCCCCGGTGCCCAGCCCAGTGGTGGGGCTGGGTGGCCTGTGCCTGGGCTCCGACTGCTCCGATGCGGAATCTGAGCCCGACCGTGACTCCATGAGCTGTGGCCTGGATTCGGAGGGTGGCACCCCCCCCCCAGGGGGGCTGCTGCCATCCTTCCCCGTCCAGATCCTGCCCAACCTCTACCTGGGCAGTGCCCGGGATTCGGCCAATGTGGAGAGCTTGGCCAAGCTGGGCATCCGATACATCCTCAATGTCACCCCCAACCTCCCTAACCTCTTCGAGAAGAACGGCGCCTTTCACTACAAGCAGATCCCCATCTCAGACCACTGGAGCCAGAACCTGTCCCAGTTCTTTCCAGAGGCCATTGCGTTCATTGGTAAGTCCACCCTGCCCTCCCCCTCCTCCCTCTCACCTCCCCCCAAAAGCCTGGCTCCTAGCCTCTCCCATATCTTCCCCCTCTCCCTCACGAGGGTTCCTCCCAGGCTTAGCTGCCATCCCCAGAGCTCAGAGCCAAGACGGCACTTCTGGGGTCAAGCAGTGCTGGGCCAGCTCCTAGAGGCTGTCAGTGAAAGCTCCAGGACTCCTCTGGCCGGGCAGGGCTCCCAAGCTGAACCTAGCCAGGGCCGCCTGGCTTGGAGGGCAGGGCGGGGACTATAAGCGCCCCTCCGGAAGGCCACTGGCCTGCACCTCACACTGGACCCCACTCTGCTTTCTCATAGATGAGGCCTTGTCCCAGAACTGTGGGGTGCTCGTTCACTGCCTGGCAGGAGTCAGCCGCTCTGTCACCGTCACCGTGGCCTACCTCATGCAGAAGCTCCACCTCTCACTCAACGATGCCTATGACCTGGTCAAGCGGAAGAAGTCTAACATCTCGCCCAACTTCAACTTCATGGGGCAGCTGCTGGACTTCGAGCGCAGCCTGCGGCTGGAGGAGAGGCGTGCACGGGAGCGGGGCAGCGGGGGGCAGGAGTCGGCTGCCTCTGACCCGCCCTCTTTCTTTACCACCCCCACCAGCGACGGTGTCTTTGAGCTGGACCCCACATAGAGCCCCTCCCCACCCCTCAGTGGGTGCTCTGGACCACCCATGTGCTGGGGGGAGAAGGGGAAGCGGGAGGGGGCTCAGTTGTAAGCAGGGTGGTTGGGGGGGAAGCGCAATACCTCATGCGGGGGCTGTGGGAAGAGGCAGGAGCCAGGAGCCCCTGCAGGGTGGCCGCAGGGAGACCTGTCCTACCCACTTGAAACATCCGCGGGAATCCTATTAAATGTGCCTATGGGCCGGGCCCGGGGCCACGGGCCTGACCCGCGCCGCTTTCAGGCGGAACTGTGCTCCAGATCCTGCCTCTTCTGCGACTGTTATTTTTTTCTTTGGGGGGATGGGGGTTCCCATTTCGAGGGACCATTCCAGGTGGCTGCCTGTTCCCCAGGCCCAGGCCCCGCATGTTCAGCCAGCTCGGCTGAGCCCTGAGCCTGCCTGTGGTTTCCTTCTTTAGGAAGGGCGTGTGCCTGCTCTGGCCACCTCATTTGCCACAAGGACCTGCTCCCAGTCCCATCCCTGTCCCCAAATGGCTACTTATGGGGAGGGGTTCACCACCACCACCACAAACGTAACCTCCCTGCTTCTCTGCCGAGGGCTTGGGCCTCTTGGGGCTGGGGTCCTCCCAGGGGATGTAGACTCAGAGGTGCAGTGGCTGCCCAGCATCCACAGGGACAGCTCCTCTCTGTGGCTCCTTGCTGGGCAGCGCCATAGGGGAGGGCGCTGACCAAGGAACCACTGGGCGGCTTCCCAGCCGCACATCTGGCGCCCTGACTGTTTATCCACTTGACATTTGAAAAGATGCTTTTTTTCCTCTTCCCCCAGATGTCTTGATGGGATCACTGGGGCTCTTTGTGACTGAGGGTGGTCAGACTGCCGCCGGAGGAGATGGGGTCTCAGAGCAAGAGCTGGGGGTGGAGGAGGGGCAGAAGAAGGCCTGGATTTTGCTGCTGTGGGTCCCACATGACCACAGTTATTTTGCGGGGTGGGGAAAAGGCCGGGCTGCATACACACATGGTCATTCATTGCAGCGCACACCCCTCGTGGGCAACAGGCATGCATGTGTGCGTGTGTGTGTTGGCGCTCACATGCGCATGCTAGCCTGCTTACACCCAGGGCCAGCAGTCCCTGCAGTGGGACTATCCCACCTTTGCGAATCCACACCACAGTTGTTTTCTTTCATTGTTCCTGAATAAATGGTTTATGTAGGATACTGAACGGAGGGAAGCTGCTTCCTGAGGACCTTGGAGGGTTTGGGGGAAGGAGGGGAGGGAGGCCACCCCAACCCCATGTCATCATTTCCCTTCTGGCGCCCACACGCCTGTTGGCCTAACGTCTGGCCGAGTCTCTTGTTCACTCACGACCCCTCGAGCCCCTGCTCTGTGCCCCACAGAGCTAGGGACTAGGACACAGCAGTGAGCCAGAGGCCTGCCGCTCGGAGATAACTTCCCGCTAAACAGACCCCATGAAGCAGTAAATGACGCCAGGTGTCCAGTGTGGCAGGGAGAGTAGAGGAGCAGGGACCCAGAAGTGACCACGGAGTTTGGCAGCTGAGCCCTGAGACTCGGTGTGGAGTCAGACCCAAGCCTCAATATGAGGTGACAAGAGCCACAGAAGGACCTGAGCTGGGGAGGGACACAGACAGACTTGTGCATCCAAGCACGTGTCTCTCTGGCTGACACAGTGTGGAATTTGGCCTGCAAAAGCTCAGGCTGGAGGCAGGGAGAGCCTGCAGAGGCCGCTGGGCCACATAAGGTGACAGATGGGGCTTGCTCCTCTCTGGCCTCCCAGCCTCAGCTCTGGACACCTCCAGTGCCTTCTGCACACCGTAGGTGAAGTGGTCTTTCTAAAGCCATGATTCTCAACCACAGAGACACGGCAAGAAGTGGAAGGGAAGCTGGAGGGTGGGTGGGGACAAGTGCAGTATGAGACTGCAGTGGGGACTTTGTGAGCAATGTGGACCATGTGTCCAGAGAAACCCCCTTGGTCCAGAACCCCTAAAATGTAGGATGAAATCTAAAAGCATGTTTGAATGAATGGCTGAGCTGGTGGGAAAATAAGAGAAAGACTCCGAGGTCAGAAATGACGAGGATCCTTGAGTCCAGAGGAGTGAGCCAGCTCCAGAGCTACATCTGTCCCAAGGGCATCTACACCCAGGAGCCAGGAACCTGGGGCCGCCCTTATTCCTTCAACACTCTCCTCCTGTGGCTTTCTAGACGCCACCTTCTGGAGCTGGGAGATGACACCTGGGCTCCCCCATAAAGCCAGGACTTTTGAAGAGCAATGTTCTCAATAGGTGTAGTCAGCAGAACACTGGACCCCCAAAGATGGCCACATCCCAATCCTGGGACCCTGTGAATATGGCACCTTATAGGGCAAAAGGGACTTTGCAGATGGAGTGATTAAGTCAAGGATCTTGAGATGGGGCTATAGGATTATCCGAGTGGGCCCTAAACGTCTTCACATGCACCTTTATAAGGGAAAGAGGGAGGCAGGAGAGTGAGAGGAGATGTGACGATGGAAACAAGGGTTAGAGCCAGAGAGAGACTGTAAGATGCTACGCTGCTGGCTTTGTAGTTGGACGAAGTAGTTGCAAGCCAAGGAATGCAGATGGTCTCTAGAAGCTGGAAAAGGCAAGAAAATGGATTCTTCCCTCAAGCCTCCTCAAGGAATACAGACCTGCTGACACCTCGATTTTAGCTCAGTGAAATCTATTTTGGATTTCTGACCTTCATAACTGTAAGATAATAAATTTGTGCGGTTTTAAGCCACTAAGTTTGTGGTAATTTGATAACAGCAGCAACAGAAAACTAACAATTAGTGATCTAGAAAAAAAAATACCCCACAGAAAGAGGTGAGGATGTTTGCTTATCTTGACCTTGGGTCTGGGTGGAAGTGGAAAAAAAGGAAAATGTTGCCCCTGAGAATTCATAGCCACAAGCTAAAGTTTTAGTTTACAGTGGTCTAGGCATAGAGGAGTGGATGCTCCGGAATTTCTCTCTTGGAGGGACTTACAGACAGCAATCTGGTTGGGGAGACAGCTCCATTTTTGCCTTGAAGCTGCATCTGATTAGCTTGCACACAGATTTTACTTAGATTGTGATAGCCCAATAAAAATAGCAAAGTTTAAAAAATACATTTTTTAAAAGTCGTAAATGAAGTGGTCCAGAGGGAGTATTCCCCATGAGTGCATGGCAGAAGCAAGCATAAATCCTCTGTGCAGGGATGTCCTTTAAATACAGGCCTCAAAGAATTCCTGTAGAAGAATTTTAAATATGTAATGAAAAAAAATTGCAAAATGTACGAGAAAACAAGCCACCATGCATGAGAGAAACATACACACATATAAATTTAGGTATCAATCATGCAAAGACAGCAGGTTTTGAAATTATATGACACAAATATAAAATAAGTATGATTAATATGTTTAAAGAAATTAAAGGAAGTATCAAAAGTATAACAAAAGAATAAGAGATTATAAAATGACCAGGTACCATTGAAAGATGCCCAAATAAAACTTCTAAAACTTAAAAATATAATAACCAAAATTAGAACTTCACAATATATGTTAAACAGCATATTAAACAAAGCTGGAGAGAGAATTAGTGAACTGGAAGATGGATTCAAAGAAATTATCCATTATGCAGGACAGAGTGACAAAGAGATAGATTGAGGTCACAGAAATATTTAGTTGAATTTCTAGAAGAAAAAATTAAAGATAATAGGGAATATGCAATATTAAAAAAGAAAATGCTTGAGAATTTTCCAAAATTGATGAAAGACACTGTGGAAGAGAATGCTCAGTATCCCGCAGTATCCATTCTCCCTTCCCGCTTTTAGAAATAAAATCCCCAAAGTTTAATAGGACATCTGGCTTTCCAGCTAGAAACTTTATTTCTCATCTTCCCTTTCAGCTAATTGTAGCCATGTTCTAACATGCTGTCTACTTTTTCCATTAGAGCCCTTAGCATATTAATCATAGTATTGTAAGTTGCTGGTCTGATATTTACAACATCCATACCATATCTGAGTCTGGTTCTGATGCTTGCTCTGCCTCTTCAAAATGTGTTTTTTGCCCTTTAGCATGCCTTGTAATTTTTTGTTGAAAGCCGGACCTGATGTCCTGGGCAAAAGGAACTGCAGTAAGTAGGCCTTTAGTAATGCCTGGTGAGGTGTTGGGGGAGAGGAAGCCTTCTATAGTCCTATGATTAGGTCTCAGTCTTTCGGTGAGCCTGTGCCTCTTGGCTGTAACCTTTACAAATGCTTCTTAGATTCCCCCCCTCAAGGTGGGATAGGATGGCTAGAGTGCGCTGGAGTTGGTTATTTTCCTTCTCCCAGGTCTGTTAGACTCTGATAAAACCCTAATAAGTCAGGCTCTGGTATAATAGTTTGTTTGGAGGGTGGGCCTTGTTAACAACAAAATGTTCTGGTGTATTTCAAAATGTCTACCTTCCCCCTCCCACTGCCAGAAGCATGAGGAGATTTTTCTCCAATGTTCACTGTGAGAATCTGGTAGGGCTCCTGGAGGTAAAATTCACAAAAGGGTGGGAGGCACCCTAAGACTGGGCCCCCCTGGAGTTTTTAGCTCTCAGACTTGTCCACACTGTGCCTCCAGCAATTCATCAATTACAGTTCATGTTTTCCTACCGTAGCACTGTTCCTGCTCAGGGGTTTCTGCTCTGGTAATTTGTCATTCTTTGTACCTGCCTGTCTGTCTCTCCAGTTTTGGGAGCAGTGGTTCACCCTGTGACTTCAATTCTCTTATGGATCTAAGAAGAGCTGTTGATTTTTCAGTCTCTTCAGTTTTTTGCTTGTTAGCCTGGAGTGATGACTTCTAAGCTCCTTACATGCTGAACCAGAAACTGGAACTCCCGTGGCTCTGGTTTGATTGATTGGCTGACTTTTATCATTACAGATTACATTTTTATGTTTCTTCTACGTCAGTCAGAAAGTCTGGGTGATGGAGTTTGCCTAATTTGTTTCCTTTCTCTCTGGTACCACAGAGTCTTTGCTGACTGTTGTCCATCTGAAAACGGTTCATATATTTTGCCAAGTTTTCCAGTTGTGTATGGTGGGAGGGTAATTCTGGACCCTGTTACTACCTCATGGCCATATTAGTATTGAATAACTTTAAGCTTTGTTAAGATAAACTATGCATGCTAAATTTTCTAAAGTAATTTCTAAAAGAATATAGAGTGTACTACTTCCAAACTAGTAGAGGAAAAATATATAATAATGAGGGAAAATCTCAATCCAAAAGAAGTCAAAAAAGGAATAAAGAAACAGAACCATTGGAATAAATAGAAAGTATAAAATAAAATTTTAGAAATTAATCCAAACATCACTAAGCAAAATAAATAGACTAAATTCTCCAGTTAAAGACAGGATTTTTAAAAATCCACCTATATGCTGTTTATAAGAGATACAACTAAATGATAGGACCAAAAAAAGATATATATAGTGAAAGGGCAGGACTTCCAGCTATGGCTAAGTGACAAGCTCCCTAAAAAAGCAGCCATAAAGCTGGACAAAATTGACAAAACAACCTTTATGATCTGGAAATCAACCAAAGGTATATATTAAACAAAGAAGCTGAACTTTGGGAATCTGTGGCATTCTGGCGTACAGCTGCTCTCATCTCTACCAGCTTGGTTTGGAATGGAGGTTCTGCCAAGGCAAGGCAGCCCATGAAGATCAGCAGCTTCTCTGCCTAGATTTGAAGAGGGCTAACTCAACTTGGAGTAGTGGGCAATATTCACACGCAGGGGCGCTGTCAGTAGAATGACTTCTCAGAGGCAGGCCAGCAGGGGAGGGCCAACAACTCAGCTCTACTAGACTGAAGTTGTGAATGTGGTTGAGGCAAGAATATTCTTGGCTAACTGGAGAATGGAGAGGTCACAAGCTCTTCATGCTCTGTTGGATTACCTTGAGGCTATGTACATGTATATAGGAGACTCAAAAGGATCCAGTGGAAAGAAAATCCAGGGCAGACCCGAAAAGAGCCTGAACATTGAAAGAACTCCCCTACCCACACACAGATCCATCAGCAGAGTACACAAGCCTTACTGGCGCAAGATGTTTGAGCACAGTTTCTGTCTAATCATTGGCTGGCCACTAAGCTAGGCAGATACAGGGGCAGCCCCTGAGAAACCAGGCTTAAAATTTTAAACTAGAATATTT